CACAGGCGGTGGCCGCGGCGCATAGCCGCGACCCCAGCGCCCATCACACCACGGTCGTCGCCTTTGATTTCAACAACAATTACCAGAGGGAGACGCAACGACCCACAGTTCCTACGAGACGTTGTCCTCACACTTTCTCAACTACAATGACGATGAGGATCGACCATGGGAGTGGGACAACGACTTGAGTATCTTTGCGAGCCCCAGACGCAGGAAGGATCAGAAGATTGTTGAGTGCTCACCGACACAAGGCGATCCCTGTATGAACTGGACGACCAGGTTGACACCAACCGCGAGAGCCAGTGAGAGAAAGAGAGAGAGAGAGAGAGAGAGCCCCTGACCGCTGTGGGTCGTGTTTGCTCCGTCCCGCTCCGTCGCTCTACTCGCTCGCCTCGCGGCACTGCCGGTGGGTGAGGCCCTTGTGCCGGTTGTGGTCGACCTGTTCACAGCCAGAGCTGTGAAGAGACGCCGTTCACAGCGCGGGCGACGCCGTCGTCGTCCTGTTCGACCAGTCCTCCGACCACGTACGCCCACCCCGGCTCAATCTCGCCGAGCAGCTCCTAATCAACGATGAATTGAGCACTTAATGAAGGTCCAATTAAGGTGCGGCTCGACCTCACCGAGCAGCTCCTAATCAACTCGCCCACAGAACAGTGACCTCGAGACCTAGAGCAGTGGATAGGCCCCATCTTCCCGGGAAGCAGCTCCTCCGACTCGGACGAGAGGTAGATCAGCCGCTCGCGATCGGGGAACACCTGTGCCCATTAGCCAAGTAGTGCATGCGTCACTTAGCGGTAGATCAGCTGCTCGCGCAGAAGGAGCTCCTGTCAATGAGTCGAGCAATCGGCTCGTTCACTTGGTCAGAGGAAGAGGAGCCCCTCGCGCAAAGGGAACACCTCGAGGTAGCTCCGCTCCTCCCTCACCACGGGCCAGTGCTCGAAGCCTAATTAAGAGGTAAGTAATGCCTTATTATTATTATTACTATTATTACCGCGCCACGGGCCAGAGCTCGAAGCCTAAGTAAGAGGTAAGTAATGCCTTATATTGTTATTACTGTTCTTACCGCACCACGGGCCAGAGCTCGAAGCCTAAGTAAGAGGTAAGTAATGCCTTATATTGTTATTACTGTTCTTACCGCACCACGGGCCAGAGCTCGAAGCCTAAGTAAGAGGTAAGTAATGCCTGAGTAGTAGCAGTACTATTCTTGCCGCACCACGGGCCAGAGCTCGAAGCCCTGCGTGAGCTTGGCGCGCGTCGCGCCGCCGAGCGAGGAGAGCACCAGCCGCGTCGGGAAGGCGGCGCGCCTGCGTGAAAAGAAAAACAACGGGTCGGTGCAAGACGGTCTTCGGAATGTCCGTATGCAGATCGGGGGGCGGCGCGCGCCGATTGGAAGAGTACGAGTAGCTGACCTGTTGCGCGAGCGAGGCGATCTCGCGCTCCTGTGGGAGAGGAAAAAAAAGGCGACAGCTCACGCACTGCACCGCCGTGGTTGATCTCGAGCCGATCTCGCGCCAATCTCGCGCGCCGTCATCAGCTTCTCGAAGCTCAAGTCAATCACGACCGAAGGCAGTGGCGCGCTCCTACGCGCTGAATAGGCGAGATCCGCGAGATTCCCCGAGATTCCCCGAGATTCCCCGAGATTCCCCGAGATTCCCCGAGCGACGTGTACCCCTCCTCGGGAATACGGCATTGTGCAGTGTGTTCAGAGCACCGTGTGAATACGAGCGACACGAGTGCAGCGATTACAGCGGAGTTCGTGTCCTTTCGGGCGCAGGCTGGAGTACAAGAAGAGTATCCGGCTTCTAGAGGCGCGCTCCCGTCGGCGCCGTCGGCCGAGAGGGCGGCTGCGGCGGCCGCCTTCGCCTCCTTCTCCCTGAGAGCTGCCTGCCGCCGCTGCTCGCGCTCGCCCCTGGCGTGCGCCTCGGCGCGGACGCGCGCCTGCTCCTCTGCCGGCATCGCCTCCCACTCCGCCTGCGCCTGCTCGCGCTTCGCCCGCTTGGCCTCCTTCTTGGCCTGCTTCTCCGCCTTCCGCTTCTCGACCTGGCTCTGCTGCTTGAGCAGCCGCTTCTGCGCCCGTTTCGAGAGCTGAGGCATGTCGCCGCCCACGATGGCGTCCGTGGCGGCGGCTGCGACGCCACTGGCCGTGCCGTCGGCGGTGGTTTCCTGGGCGTCGGCGGCGTCTGGGCTGAGCGGTGAGGCTGCAATACTCTCCGACAGAGCGTCTCCAGCGGCGGCTACCGCGGGCTCGTCGGCAGTCGTGGTCGCGGACTCGTCCGTCGTTGGCGCACGGGGCGTCGCCATAGCCGTTGCTGGAAAAAAGAAAAAGAATTGCCTGGTTTCCGCGGTGCCGTCCTCTGCGAGCCGTTCCTTTTCTTTTTTCCAACGCCGCATTTGCTCGCTAACCCTTGGCCATGGCACAAGCGGCGCTGGACGCGATGGTGGCGCGTGCCGTGTCCATGGCTGGCTACCCGCCGAGCGTGAAGACGGCTTACTCCAAGGTCTTAACGAAGGCCGGGATCACGACGCCGACGATGCTCTTCCAGCTAGTGCTGGCATCTCCCGCGGTGAGTCCGCAGTCTGGGCTGCTGTATCTGCTGCAGCAGAACGGCGCGCCCACTTCCGGCCCAACGTTGACGCAGTGGGTGGTAGTGAGCGGCAACCTCACGAACATCTCGCTCGGCACCGCCGGAAATAAGCCGTCCACTGCGCAGGATACTTTTGCGCCGAGGCCCGCTCCGCCGCCCGCGCCAGCGGCCAGGGCACAGGCGCAGCAATGGCGTTCCCAACAGGGTCTAACGGCCGACGACTATTGGCCGTTTCCGTGAGGCGGTAGGGAGGTTACGAGCGAGGTTGTATCCTGTAATGTGCGGAGGAGGTGCTAAGGTAAGGTAAGGTAAGGTAAACTTCTCCACACACACGAGGTGGTGGGGCAAGGGGGGGCAACCCTCGCGTCTCCACGTCTGACGACAGGAGCCCCACGGCATTCAAAGTGCAAGGCCCAGTGCGCGTGGGTGAGCGGTGTGTGTGTGTGTGTGTGTGTGTGTGTGTGTGTGTGTGTGTGTGTGTGTGTGTGTGTGTGTGTGTGTGTGTGTGTGTGTGTGTGTGTGTGTGTGTGTGTGTGTGTGTGTGTGTGTGTGTGTGTGTGTGTCTCACGTCACTGCATCCTCCGCCGGTTCCTCCCGTCGCCTCTTCTTTGTTCGAATGTTTTTCAATCCATCCTTCACGAAGCCCTCCCATGTAGCTAGCGTTCTTGGCGAATGTCCTCTCGAAATGGCCAGCAGGCGCTGTCTGCTCGCGGTCTGTAGGAGGTGCTTAGCGTATAAGTGGCCGGATCTCACCCCGGCCTTGTACAGTTGTAGTGGTCTGTTGAGAGTGCGGCGAAGCATGGTTCGGATCGCCGCGCGAAGCCGCTGGGCGCTGCGCGCTCGGCTCTGCATCAAACAGTGTACACCGAGCGAGGCTACAGGTGCAGGTGCCTCAAGCCTGGAGTAAAAAACACTGCATGTATAACACTAACAGCGGCGGAAACGGCTAGACTCTGCCTCGATGGCAGCTCTGCATGGCAGCTCCACGTCTCCAGCCCTGCCGTGCACTCAGTTGCAACGCACGATCGCTCAAGGGGATGGGCGATGGCCAGTAGGGTGGCGTTGCGCTTCTCGAGGACGAGGCTTATGGTGCTTCATCGACTTCTTCGACTTGCCCGAGGGGTCTATCGAAGCAGCGTAGGCCTCCATCTGTACACTGCCATTTGCCAGGTAGTGAATGTGCCGGCGCCGACGTGAGAGGATTGGCGCGCCGCAGGCAGTAGCGAGTGAGGGCAGCACACCGATGGCCAAGCGGTGCTTCCGCAGGCACAGGTGATACGGTACGTGCTCGCACATGTACGAGTTCTTCGTCCCGCGATAGCGGCAGTCGGCTCCGCTGCGCAAGGCGGCGGCGCGGTAGAGGCCCAGGCCATTGAATGCGGAATCGACGGCAAGCGTGGGCGCAGCCGGGTCTATGGTGATCGCATACTCTGGACAGCTGCCGTGCATCTTGCGCTGCGTCGAATTGAACCAGCAATCGTAGTTGAGGCCGAGGGTATTCGAACGCAACGCCCACCGGTCGTAGTAAAGGGTGGGTGCCCGTGTGTTTACCGTCAGCACATCCCACGGCTGCGTGGCCATCGACGCTATCACGCGAACGAGTTGGTCCACGGGTGGTGCATGGCAATCGAGGTCGAGTGACAGGAAAGTGCCGTGGGCAGACAGCGAGGCGGCTGCCTCACGTACCAGCTGGTTGCGGCAGAGCGCCAGCCGCTGGGTGCGCGACCATTGCGGGTACAGGAGCGGCTGCGCAAGAAGCAGCCGCACGCGGTCATCAGCTGCCGCCCACCCTCGCAACGCTGCGCGCGTGCCGTCTGGGTCGCCCGCGCGCTGCTCGTCCTCAAAAATCAGCAGGCTGCCAGCCGTGCGATCTAGCAGCGAGGTGACCCATGCTCGCTGGTGCTGCTCAAGCGCGGGGCGCACATTGCGCGCGCACGAGCCAACCAAGAGAGCACCGTGCCAGTCGCGTCGGCCAATGTACGTGCAGTTTGGGCCATCTGCCGGACTACCTGCTCTCAGCGGCGCCCATCCACCTGCGCTGCAAGTGCCTCTTCGCGAGAGCATGCAACAGCGTTGTGCCCGCCGTGGGCCCTCCGGTCCGCCGCGCGTCCTTCCTTTGAAAAAAATCGAAGCAATAGATAGCGCGGCGCGGCCCCGAGATCGCCCGAGATAGCGCGAGATCGCCCGAGATCGCGCGGCGCGGCCCGGGGCGGGGTGGATGGGTTGGGAGCGAGGGGGCGAAAGTGTTCAGTGCGGTAGATGGTAAGCTCGAGGCGCGTGAGCCGGACCTGTGAGCCGGACCACCCCCTCTTGTTCCCTGCGTTGTTGAGCCAGGACTCAACATACTCGGGCTTTCATCCCAAACTGTCACTCCCCTTTCTCCCGGCCGAGGTGGGGCGCGCGCGCCGCGGGGGCGGCGGGTGTGCGGGATGTCTGTGGGCCCGAGAGCGATATGCCATGTCCGCCTTGCGTTTGTTTCATAACATCGAAGGCTAAGCTCAAAAAATCGAACAATCCTCGCTACCCAACCCGGCCAAAGGATATCCACCTCGAGAACCTCGAGAGAGGGCACCGTGATTTTTTGTGGTGGGCCGGACCACCATGCGGGGGGGCGGCGGGTATGCGAGATGTCTGTGGGCTGTGGGCCCGAGAGCGGTTACCATTTTCCTTTCCTAAGGCTGCTCTCAAGGCGGCGTCCTCGCGGCCGTCAAATAAACGCGATTTTTTAATTCTCATGCCCGCACGGACGGCGAGTTGTTGGTCGTGAGGATCTCTCATCGTGGTCATCGTGCGTGTCCCAAGCCATCCACCCAGCAATCCTCTGGTTGATGATGCAGAGCGAGCCCGAACAACTTCACAAGGTTCCGAGCCGGTCAAACAGCGACGGAGACTCCAAGCGCGGCCTGCTCCGGCGCGCACCAACCTTTCGCGCGCCGGAAAGAATGCTGACGCAGAACTCGTACACGGTCTTCCAGGAGCGTGTGGTGATTGCGATGGTCGGCCTGCCGGCGCGTGGCAAGTCGTACATATCAAAAGCCATCGTCCGCTATCTCAACTTCCTCGGCTGCCCGACTCAGCTCTTCAACGCTGGCAGCCTGCGTCGAAAGCAGGGGCTGGCGGGCACCGACGCGTCCTTCTTCGACCCGAGCAATAAGTCTGCACAGGAGCAAGGAAGCACTGTCAGGACGTGTGTCACAGGGCATGTTGTTTTCTCACAGGTTTTGGTATGCAACCGCAGGCTCAAAAGGAGCAGATGGCGATGGACTGCCTCGACGAGCTGCTTGACTGGCTCCAGGAGCAAACGGTGACCGGCGGATGCGCGTGCGGTATCCTGGACGCCACAAACACGACAATCGAGCGGAGAGCCAAGGTCGGCTCGTTCGAGAGCTGAGAGCACAGGCAGACCACGAGGCGGACACCAGCACGTTATGGGTTGAAGCAGAGACGGTCGCACTCGAGTAGCACACTTTCACATGAGCACGACACTCGGTCACGAGTCCTGAGCGTATTTTGCATCTCGCAAGGTGATCGAGCGGTGCACGCGGGAGCGGGAGGAGGACGGAGGGCTGCGGTTGATCTTTGTCGAGAGCATCACGGAAGACGAGGCGATGTTTATCCGAGATTCTGCAGAGATTCAGCCGAGGCGATCGTGGTGCATCCTCCCTTTCCCATCAATATCCTGCCTGACCGCAACGCCTCTCTCGGCCGTTACCCTGCCTTTATCTCACGCGCCGCTCTTAACTGAGGCGGTCCTCCCCGGCAACAGCTCCCTTTTTGTATCAATCAGGCGATCCTCTCCAACAACTTCCGGATGAAGGTGGGCGACAGTAGTTAAATGGGGGGTTGTAATTAAGGTCCTCTCCAACAACAGTTCCGGATGAAGGTGGACAACGACGACTACAGCGGCACCGACCCCGAGGCGGCGCTCGCCGACTTCAAGGCACGCGTGCGGCAGTACGAGAAGGTCTACCAGCCGGTCGGCGAGTCCGAGGGCGATGGGGCCACAGCCGACCACTCGGCGCACAGTACCCTACCAAACCCGGTACCCAAATCCAATGGTATGAACGCAGGCTGCGGCGTACATCAAGATGTTCGACGCGGGCCGCAAGCTGGAGAGCAAGCTCGTCAAGGGGGAGGTGGAGCGCAAGGTGCAGCGCCTGCTCGGGTCGATCCATCTCGGCCCAAGGGCCATCCAGCTGCCGCTGGTCGGCGAGACGCGATCGCGAACCGCGTCTCTTCACAGCAGCACGCTGTGAACAGGCCATCCAGCCGCCGCTGGTCGGCGAGTCGCGGTCGCGAGCCGCGTCTCTTCACAGCAGCACGCTGTGAACAGGCCATCTGGCTGGTGCTGGTCGGCGAGACGCGCAACGCGTGCGCCGGTGTGCTCGGCGGCGACTCCAGCCTCACAGCTGCAGGGAGCGAGTACGCGCGCGCCACCGCCGAGCTCCTCGTCCGACGCGAGCACGAGATCGGTGGCACGCCTGCGGCGGTCATCTGCGGCACGCTCAAGCGGTACGTCGCAATGATGGAGGCGATTCGTGAGGCGACGGCGCCAACCTTCCCCCGTATCTCCCCACATCCCTCCACATCTCCTTAAAGGCGCTTTGCGAGGCGACAGAGCCACAACCCCCCGGCGAGCGGTGCCCCAACTGCAAGCGGCGAGGCTGCGACAGCGGCTGCGAGGGCGCGGACCGGCGCTGTTTCATCAAGGTGGCGGCGCACGAGATGCGGGGAGATGTGGGGAGATGTGGGGAGATACGGGGAGATACGGGGAGACATGGCGCTGCTCCTTCATCAAGGTGGCTGCGGCGCACGAGCTGTGAAGAGACGCTGCGGCTGTGAAGAGGCGCTGTTCACATCAGGCGGCGGCCAACGAGCTGTGCGCTGGCTTCCTCGACAGCCTCACACAGGCGGGGATCCGCAGCGAGCTTCAGTTCGCGATCGATCGATTGATTGATTGATAATCACGCAGGCGGAGATCCGCAGCAAGTTCCCGAGGGAGGCAGCGGCGAGGCAGGCCGACGCACTGACCGAGCAGGTGGGGTTGTGAATGCCCAACAGCGTCTCTTCACCCTGCAGCTGTGGGCAGGCTGACAAGCTTACCTACCGCTACCCCGGCGCGGGCGGAGAGTCATACGCGGACGTTGTCCTCCGGATGAACGACATCATCTGTACGTTGTCGGTCCTCTCGGGCGACAGCGCTGTGAACGGCGTCTCTTCACGGCTCGTGATGTGAACAGGCATGCTCGAGTCCTCTGTCGGCAACGCTGTGGTCATCTGCGACCGCGCTGTCTACCGCGTCATACAGGCCCACAGTTGGTCGTATACGAGAGTCAGCCGATAGCCAGAGAGTTCGCCGGGAGGTCGCCGGCATGCTGACCTGTCTCGGCTGGCGCGCATTGAGCGGTCGCGGCGAGAGGCGTCTCTTCACAGCGTCCTGCTGTGAGCAGGCGTACTTCGACGGCACGCCAATCGAGGAGATGCCGAATCTCGAGGTCAGATCACGGCTGGATCAGAGCTAACCTCGGCCGGACTAGCTCACGGGACGCATGAGCGGGATCCCAGCCAGATCTCGGCTCATCTCACCTGTGTTGCGCAAGGGCAGGCTTTGCCGAGATTGACGCCGGACCACCCGAGATTGCCTGAGATGGTAGGTCAAGCCCGGCGTCCTCGAGTTCCGCCGCTCGCACTCGGGGTTCTCCACCACTCACCTTGAGGTGCGAACCGGTCGCCAGTCGCTTGGGCATGGATGGGGCCAGATCTAGATCTTGGTTAAGGTTGCCTACTACCACTAGTACCACTACTACTGCCACTGCTACTACTACTGCTGCCATTACTGCTGCTGCTACTACTGCCACTACTGCCACTACTGCTACTACTGCTACTACTGCTACTACTGCACTAGGTGAGCTCCGGCGCCGCCACCAACGTGAGCGGGCCCGGCTCGAAGCCGAGGCTCCTCCCTGGGTTCGCGTGCACACCGAGCTGAGCTGTCCAGAAAAGGGAGATCTGTCAACAAAGACGCTTGTGCATAGGCCGCTCTCTCGCCGCTCCACGCGAGGGCGAGCCTTGCAAGAGTAGCGTCTCATCACGCTGTGGTCTGTGAACAGGTCGCTCTCGCCGCGCCTTTCGGACGAGGGGAACGGAGACACAAAGCACTGGCCCCTGGCGGAGGGCCAGCAGAGGGACATGGTGGAGGCCCTCAAGGTCGCCCTCTGAAGGCCCGGCCGACCGCAAGTCGCTAGACGCTCCAGCTGCACCGCACCTCTCCATCAGCATCACCTCTCGCACACAACAACAGTCAACACGCTGCCTATTTTCAATCCCTGGGCTGCTTCGTGATTTCGAGCCTCGCGGGGCGCAGAGGTGTCGTTAGTGTGATGCTGGGGTTGCCCCTGGGCCTGGCCTTGAATGTGGAGCTGGATGGGGGGTCGAGAGGGGGGGGCGTGGAAACACGTTTCAGACGTGAGCTTAAATTGGTAATAAATAAATAACCCCTCTCACCCTCCCGCCGTGCTGCGTCTGTCTCTCTCACCCTCATCGTCGTCCCATGCGAAGCTTCTTGTGTGTCTCGCCACCCTCGCACCCGAGTACCCCTACGACCCGTCGCATCTCCGAGACACATGTCCATAGGAGCACCCCTACGACCCGTCGCAAGACGCCATCCACAGGCGCGAGATCCGCCGAGATGTCGCCGAGATCTGCCGAGATGTCGCGGAGATCCGCCGAGATGTCGCCGAGATGTGCCGAGATGTGCCGAGGTTTGCCGAGGTTTGCCGAGGTTTGCCGAGGTTTGCCGAGATGTCGCCGAGGTGGTCGGCCACGACCTCAAGCAAGAGAGATGCCAGCCTCCCCCTCCCTCCCCCCCCCCCCCCCCAAGCCCAACACACATCCCTCCTCTCCCCTCGCGCCTCTCCGCAGGCGCACGAAGCTGCTGCTCGGCATCCGCGACTAGCCTCCCCTCGCCCTTGCCTCCCCTCGCCCTTGCCTCCCCTCGCCCTCAACTAGCAAACCACAGTAGTCTCCACACTTCACACCCACACCGTCTCCACAGACTCTCTGACAAGTGACATGAAAAATTCATCAGATAAAGCATAGAAAAACGCAAGCGTCGCAAATTGCCCCCCCCCCCCCCCCCTGTAAATCGACATGCCGGAGGGCACACATGAAATCCTGTGAGAGGATGCGCATCATCCATCAACAGTGCATGGAGGATGCCCGGGAACGGGCGCCCGAAGGCGCACATGAAATCATGGAGGATGCGCACCAAAAGTGCATGGATATGCGCGTGGGCGACCCAGCGGGCGATGTGCCATCGCACGAGACGAGCGGCGCAGGCGCAGGCTCGCGGCATGGAGAGAGTATGCATGTGTGGCACGCGCGCGGATCTCCATGCGTCCGCGCGCGCGCGCGCGCGCGCGTGTGGCGAGGGAGCGCGCTAGGTTGGTCGCGCTCAGCTGTGGCGCCGGGGGTGCGGTGAGCGGCCGGCCAAGCCTCTCAGTTGACCCACCACCAGTTGATGTCCACCCCAGCCTTCTTGAGGTTGTCGCACGCCGGCTGCTTGTAGCTCGGCACCGTCATGGCGGGCTTGTCGGTGATCTTGCCGTGCTGGTAGTCCGACCAGTCGCTCGAGCTGACGGCATCCCATCCGGGCTTCCCCGTCTTGATGAAGGCCAGCCACTGGCCCAGCACCTGCTTTCCAAACTCGACGTCGCGAGTAGAAGGCTGGTAGGGCTGCTTCGCGGGGGTCTCGTCATCCTCCTCTCCACAGTTGACGGCATACCCGTGTGGGTTGTCCTTTGATGGCAAGGGGTGAGGGTGAAAGGTGAGAACGAGGTGCGAGGGCGAGGGGGAGGGGGGGCGGGGTGCTGGCCTTGAAGAAATTCTCGCCCGACTTGACCATCTTGCCCGCGCGCCAAGGCTTATCCGCCCCGTCCGGGTTGCTCGCCTGCAGAGCGGCGAGAAAATCCCAAGAATGGAACGGCATGGTCGAGCGGATGAAGCACGAGCCGGCGAAGACGGGGTTCGAAGGGGGCGTGACGACGGTGCTCACGAAGATCTTGCCCACATTCCCGCCACTCGCAGCTGCAAGCGCAAGCTCAACGTTGCCGCAAGTCGCGCCTACGGGACATGTCCTGGGGCATGTCCTGGACGTGTCCTGGACGCGACAGCTTCAGCCTCGCGGTGTGGAACCGGCGTCGGCCGTCAGGGCGTAGGCCGGATATAGCTTCCAGTGCGGGTCGTCGGCTCTGTTCTCGGTGTCATTCTCGGTAAGGTTGAAGACCGTGTCCAAGAAGTCGGAGAGGAGAACCGACTCCGTGCCAAACTGGTTGTCGACGGCGTTGCCGGGTGACCCGGTGCAACTCTGGCAGCACGGGCGCTTGAGGTCGTCTCCGTCTCTCATGCACACGCCCAGCTGTTTGTTCAGCAAGCCACGCGCGCCATTGTCCTCGTAGCTGGCCTTGGTGAACGCGTTAGACGGCGGCCAGTTGTGCTCCGCCGACAAGGTCTGGAAAATGACCGCGGGCGCGGAAGCGTTGGAGAACGTCTTCTTCAGCCCCGTGAGGATGGAGCTGTTGGAGCCGCCGTCGAGCGTGTGGCCGTCGATGAATGGGAGGCCAAAGCCCATCTGGCCGAGCGAGGGGTCGACGGGCACCTAAGGTAAGGTGAGGTATAGGGCAAACTTCTCCACACACAAAATCAGGCAGGAGCCCCACACGGCAGTCCGAGTGCAAGGCCCGGTCCAAATGGGTGAGCAGACGGGCACCTGCGAGTCCTGATTCCACAAGTTGTACCGCCCTCCGTCGCCCGTGCAGGCGATCTCGCTGGGGAAGGGGTTCTTGTCGTTCGGCTCGATGTCGGTCTTGCAGGTCGTGTCCATGGCTTGCATGACCTCCGCGACGGAGAGTTTGCGCATGCACGCCAGCTGCTCGGCCGCAGGCTCGGTGTCCTTGCAAGGGGTGTTGTCCAGCCAGTACTTGCGGTCCTGCTCGTACTTGTCCGCTTTGTTCATCGTGATGTTGGGTGATCCCGAGAGCGAGATGGCCCCGGCGAAGAGCGGCACGGACTCGGGCGCGATCAGGTGGGCCATGATGTTAGTGCCGCCGGAAGACTACACAGCGCGGGGGTGGGATCGTTACGGGGATCTCCGGTGGGTTTCGGGGGCGCTGCCTGCCTGCCTGCCTGCCTGCCTGCTGCGCTTCTGCGGTGTACGGCTGCTGCTTGCTTCCCGCTTGCTTGCGCAGCACAGTGCTATACTAAGCGGCGCTGCTGCGCCTGCCCAAGGAGAAACACGCGATTGGGGTCGCCGCCGAAGTGCTCGATCTCGCGCTTGACCCAGCGCATCGCGAGCTGCTGGTCGAGGATGGCGTAGTTGCCAGAGACGTTGCGCGGGTCCTCGGTCGCGAGCACCTCCAGCGCCAAGAAGCCGAGCGCGGCAAGCCGGGAGTTGATGGAGACCACAATCACGCTGTTCTCCATGCCGTTGACGAGCCACTCGACGGGGCCGTGGGACGTCGCGCTCCCAGCGACTGAGGGTGGGGGTGGGTGGGGGTGGGGGAGAGTGCGAGGGGGCGCTGTATTATTGAGGGCAGCCGGGGCAGCAGGTCACACCGTTGGAGCCACCGTGGAGCCAGATGACCACGGGCAGCGGCTCGGTCGGCTCGCTCACTGGCGTAAACACGTTCAAGTTCAGGCAGTCCTCGGATGTGGCATAATCGAATGCGAGCGCGATGTTTGTCTTGTTGAATGGGTAGTCAAACGACTCGTTGTTCATGTTCGTGATCCAGGGGCAGGCGGGGCCGTTGATCGGAGTCCCATCCATGCTCATGTACTGATGAAATGCCGGCTCGGGTGGCATCCAGCGTGAGGCATTGCCGAATTTGATGCCACGGAAAGACCGAACGAACGCGGAATCCTGGTTGTGGCCTCGGACAACGACGCCGCTCGAGAGGGTGATCTTCAACGGGCCGTGGGGAGGGTGCTCGGGCGCGGAGGCAAAGGCAGACGCGCTGCCGATGAATGCGAGGAGCACGGCCGTGAGCATGCTGCCTCAGTCGAGGCAGTAGGGTGGCAGAGGGTGGTGCGCGCTGGCGCGCGAGCTTTCCCAGAGCAACAGTGGTCAGTGCTAAACCCGACGAATGCCGGCGGCGGCTGTCCGATTTCTCTTTTAAGGCATGCCGTGGCCTCCTTGGACACTGGGGGCAAGATTTCTTGTCGGCGAGTATGTTCTTTCTTTCTTCTTGATCTTGTCTGTTTTGTGGTCTCTTGGCTCTTGGCGCTCTTCTCTCGTCTGTCGGTGATTTGTGTGTGTGAGAGAGAGAGATTTGTGTGGGAGGAGGGGTGCGGGAGAGCTAGCCGGACGTAAAAACCAGACACTTGTAACAGGAACAATCAGGCATGGCATATGCCTTGCACCTTGACATGCGCATGCGGGTATGTGAGACGGCTCCTAGTGGTCTTCTCTGCGCCCTCTCTCCTTGCCCACGCGCAAGCTCGAGCACAAGGCGCGGCGCCCCCCGCGAAACTAGGCCGACGGGGAGATGCCTGTGGGGCTGTCGGCGATCCACCGGCTCCCGCGCGCCCCGGCGACCGCCGACGCGGCAAAGAGCGCGACGAAGCGGCCATGCACCTCGCTGTGGGGCGAGTCGGAGCGGGCGGAGCACGCCAGGTAGTCGACGAGGAATGCGGCGGTGCAGACCGCGTAAAGAGACAAGACTCAAGAGCACACGCAGGCCTCACTGCTTCTCCTTCTTCACCTGCTTGTTTCCAAACAGCATCTGCCCCACCCTCTTGGTGATGTCACCAAACTGGTACTCCCCCTTCCCGGTGAAGTTTGAGACGAAGGTCTTGGTCAGGTCGCCGAACTGGTAGTCGGACTTGCCCGTGAACTCCTGCACCCACGCCGCCCTGCGGCTCTCGAGCTCGCGGCTGATGTCGCCGAAGGTATACTGCTCCTTCCCCGTGAAGTCCGCCACGGCCGACTTTGCGCGCCGGTCTATCTCGCGCGTGAGATCGCCCGTAGTGTACTCCTCCTTTCCGCAGAAGGCTGCCACGGCGCTCTTGACGCGGCCGTCGATCTCGACTGATAGGTCGCCCGCCGCGTACTCGCTCTTGCCGGTGAGCTTGCAAACCTGCTCCTTGGTCAGCTGATCGAGGGCGACGGAGAGGTCGCCCAGCTCGTACTCGTCCTTGTCTCGCAGCCGCGCCACCTCCGCCCTGACGCGAGCGTCAATCTCTTTCGACAGGTCGCCGATCTTGTAGTCGTCCTTGCTGGTGAAGCCGCGGATCTGCTTCTTCGCCTCCTCGCGAACAGCGACGCGGACGAGGATGGCCATCTCCATCGCAAGGCCGAGCCACTCGTCGTCCTCCACCAGGTTCCCGACCGCAGCGGCGTCGGCGGCAGTGACGAGGGCGCTGCTATCGGAGGAACTCGCAGCAGCGCCGGGAGCGACGGCCTCGCCGCCGCCTGAGGGGCGCACGTCAACTCGGTGAGTCTGCGAGGCCATCGCCTGAGGGGCGCACGTCAACTCGGTGATGCGGGTCGTGCGCATGTCTGAGGCTTTTGATGAGCTGATTCGTGGCGAGTATGCCGGCATCGGATTTGTGGGAGGCCTCTCACCATCTGCGTTGCTGTCGGAGGCAGCTCTCGCGGGCGTTGAAGACGCCTTGACCGGCGACGCTCTGCGAACGCAGGCCCGTCTTGCTTGCAGCGAGGCGGCGAGTGGCGGCGGCAGCAGAGCGGCGTCGGCAGCAGCCGCGAGGAAGATGACCGACGTGAGCGCCACCGAGGCCCCATGGATTTGAAGAAAAGAATTCACAAAAACTCTCTCGCACAGCACACAGGTGAGAGAGAGAGAGAGAGAGAGAGAGAGAGAGAGAACCGCCAATGGCCGTTATCCGTTAGTGCGGACGTCGCCGCGGCTCGCCTCTGCCGCGGCGGCTGCTGCGCGCACGCGGCGGCGCCGCTCTCTCGCGAGACGGCTGGCGACGCGGCTCGCCGCCGACGTACGGTGCGCTCGTCCGACGGTCCGCAGCGTGGCGTGCGCGGCGCTGAGCGCGGCTCTGCGAGCGCCTCTGCGCCTGCACTGCCTGTCTCTGTTGCTGTTGGTGGTGGTGGTGCTGCTGCTGCTGGTGCCGATGCTGCTGCTGGCGCGGCGCGGCTGTGCGACTGGGCTCGACGCGCGCGTCGCGAGCGTCTGACGCGGCGGGCGGCGTCGGGCAGGTGCGCTTCTCTCTCGGGTGGTGGTGGTGGTGCTGCTGCTGCTGCTGGTGGTGCAGATGCTGCTGCTGGTGCGGCGCGGCTCTCCGACGCGACTCGATGCGCGCGTCGCGGCTATCTGACGCGGCGGGCGGCGTCGCGGGCGGCAGCGGTGGCGGCTCGCGGGTGGAGGTGGAGGCTGGTGGCTGTGGTGGACTTTGAGTTTATTTCATGGTCGTGTACGGGGACCGGGGGGTCAACCGGGAGGCAGGGGGTTCAACCAGGCGACGGAGGACCGTGGGCCATCGCGGGGACCAGCCCGTCCGGAGGACGCACTGGGTAGATCCGGATGGTCTTCACGCCGGTGGGTGGCACCGAGGCGTCTGGGACGCTCAGCTCTACCTTAAGCTCCTGAGGGGCGCGTGGTTGTAACCACGTAGTATGACTACAACCCACCACAGACACCCTCCCCCACTCCTCACGTGTGTTCACACCCTCACCCTCTCCTCTCTCCTCTCTCTCTCTCTCTCTCTCCTCTCTCTCCTCTTGTCTGTGCTGTCTGCCTGACTCAGGCACTCAATCTGCCGATGCGTGATTGTGTGTGGGCTGCTCCGAGGGGGCCCTCTGTGCGATCCGACGGGTAGGGGGGCTGTGCCCGGGCGGTGTCCGGTGTGGAGTCCCCTTCTGATCCCGCCTGGGATGTTGGGTGTGAGGTTGTGGCGGCTTCGATCCCAAGGGGGGGAGCTGATCCCACTCAATAACCAACTCTCAGGGGCAGTAGGTGGGCGAGCTTCAGGCACGCTCATCTCGATCGTCAAGACGTTGCTACGCGCGGTCTTCCGCGGGGGGAGCTGCGTCGACGGGTGCGGGACCGCGGCGCAGCCAGTGCCGTGGCGATGCCTCCGGCTGTTTGCGGCGGGCGGCTTGCTGCTCGCTGCGATGGCGAAAAACTCGTCTCGCCACACGCCAAGGGCTTATGCTCTGGCGAGACGTGAGGCGCATGCGCCCAGGAGGGGAGGGGGCATGTGTAACGACACTGCTAGAGATGCCTTTCGGGGCCCAGAGATAAAACTTCTGTGATGCCATGCGTGACCTAGTAGTGTCCCCAGCTATGGGCGTGTCCACGTTGGAGCCAGGTGTGGTGTGGGCGCGAGAATAGCTCCGCCGTTCATGGAGGCAACCGATGCGAGTCGACTGGTGTGTGTCGTCGTGGTTTCGTATCAAGAATTCTCTCTCTCTAGCACACAGGTTCGACACAGGTACCAAAAGAGGCACAGAAAAGAATTCTTAAAATACAAGCCTCTCTCACAGCACACTGGCACGACAAGGGCGCGGACTGGCGCGGACTGGCACACACACCGGCTCACCACCGGAGCCGCCTAAGCGACTCCGTTAAGAACGGCAATGCACTCCGCACCATGCACAATGCCGCTCTCCCCGCACGCTATAGCTCGTTCACCGTCTGCCACGCCACGGCGGTGTGGAGGACGACAGACAAGCGCTGCATCTGCAGCCCGTGCCAGTTCTTGGTGGTCCATGTGACCTCGTCCAGGTGCTGAGCGTGCGAAAGTTTGTTGCTCAGCTGGTTCGCCGCCTCCCTCAGGGTGCTGCGAACCTCCTTTCCAAAGCCTCCGAAAGCCTCAAAATCAAACAAACGTAGATCGCAATCCTGCTCCCGCGCAAAGCGGTAATCGCCTGGTAATCGCCATCCAGCTGCTGGAGCTTTCCCTTGGGGGCATCCTCCTCCTCCCCCTCCTCCCCCTCCTCCTCGGCCTCCTCCTGCTCCTCCTCCCCCGCCACCGCCGCTGCCGTCGCTCCCGACGGAGACCACTTGCCGCGCCCTTTGACCAACTTGAGCAGCCCGGTCTCCGTGTTGCCAAAACGCACATAGGCCCCCTTCCAGCCGAGCCGAATTTCACCCTCTCCATCCTTGCCCTTGCTGTTGCTCGCGAGCGAACTCGTAAGCTTCAGATCGGCAACAAGGCGCCTGTGCCCCCTGCCGATGTTTGCCGCCGCCAGGCCCATCGGCCAGCGGGGTGGAGCTCCGGTCTAGCTGCTTGCCCATCGATGCTGCGTCGGCCTTGCGGCCGGGCTATGCGCTCGAAGGGGAGGGTGGGCGTAGACGCGGTGGCGTCTAAGCCCGGTGTTGCCAAGAAGTGTTTCCTCTCACGCGACGGATCTTACGCTTACGTTTGCTCAAGGGGGGGAAGCTGGGTGAATACGACACTCTGTCGCACTCACGAACTGAATCAGGAGACCGCCGGTGGCCCGAGACTGAACGACAGGGCCCGCACCGGGCCCTCACACGACTCTCGTGTGGCGTTCAGAGAGTTCGTTACACACAATGGGACCGCCGTCCTCCTCAATTCGATTATCGGGACCCCCGGGGGTCGTTACATGCGCCTCGTCATTCCGGTACGAGCTCCATTCGCGGCTCCAATCGCCCCAAGTCACCACGGAGGACTGTCCCAAAAACCCTCCTCCGTGACATGGTGTGTGTCGTCGTGGTTTCGTATCAAGAGAATACTCACTCACACACACATCCTTCACACCAACAGGCAGGCGGGGAAGTGCGGCGACGTTGCCGCGCGGCGAGGCGCAGGGGGCGGCGCGCGCGACGCGAAACGAGCCTATGCCTCGTTCAGCGGTCCTCCTCGGCGGCGGCGGCCTCCGCGGCGGCGGCGGCCTCCGCGGCGGCGGCGGCCTCCGCCGCTGCCGCCTCCATCCTGGCCGCCTCCTCGGCCTCCTCCTCCGCCCGCTTGGCCTTAGCCGCCGCTGCCGCCTTCTGCAGCGCGGCAAGCGCCGCCGCCGCCGCCTCGGCTTTGCGGCGCTTCTGAGCGGCCACCTCCATCCGCATACTCGCGAGCCGCGCCTCCTCGCCTTGCAGCGCCGCCTCGCGCCGACCGAGCTCCTCGAGCGCCTCGTTGAGGTCCGCCCGCTTCTTCTCTACGCAGCGCTGCGCCTCCCCGAGCGCCTGCGTCGCCGCCGCGACGCATCCCTCTTGCTCCGAGATCTGCTCCGAGAGCGACGTGGCGGCGGGTGCCGGTGCCATGGCTGTGGGCGGGCCGCCGCCCGGCCGCTTTTTGCCCCGCTTAGAGGGCGCGAGGCCGATCTCGTTGGCGAAGAGGTGCACGTCAAGGTACGTCGAGTTCAGGTTGACGCGGCGGAAACAAGTGCCCCTCCCGTTGCGGGCGACCTCCACAAACAGCGTGCCGCCGGTCGTCTCAGTCTTGAGGAAGGCGGTGCGGCCGGGCAAGGGGTCGTTCTCGCAGACCACGTCGATGAGGAAGCGGCAGAGCCCACCGCAGAAGTACTTCTTACGCCCTGCCTCGTCCATGCGTGAGACATGGGGGAGCAGCCGCCAGTCCGGGTCGCCGAAGGGGATCTCGTCTACCTCGACCTTGATTTCGTCGCACTTACCGGCAGCGAAAGTGTGCTCCGCCATAAAGGTCTGCTTCTTAGTGTCGACGACGATCACCTCGGCTGGCATCATGTACTCCGGGCAGAGTGCCGTCTCGCCGTCCGCCTTGGTCAAGACTCCGTACTTGATCTCGACGCAATCGCTAACCTTGACCGGCGGGGCGGCGTCGGCCGCCGCACCGGACACTAGCGCTCCTCGATCATGATGATGTTGGGACTCCTTACGTGAACGTACGTGTGTTAATGTGTATACGGTGCGGAGAGTTATATGCAGCTGCACGGAAAGCTACTACGGAGGTTATGTACACCCCTCTGTCCACGGGGTTGATGTTGGCGCTGGTGTTCTCCCTTCGGGTGCATCGTGACAGCTGACGACGGGATTACTAATGGCGTGTCCTCCTCATCCGATTCGGCTTCTCCGCGGACTCACCTTCCGTCCGGCGTGGCTCATCCTCCATGCCGTGAATAGACCAGGATGCAGGAAAGGGGTTGCTTTTTTTTGGATAAATCGCACGACAGCCAGCTGGCGTGTGACGACATTCCTTATTTCGGCGGCTGCTGCAGTCGGCCGTCGCCGCCGCCGTGCTGCCGCTCATCATCGAAGGATGGGAGAGCGTCCCTCCCGCCTTTTATAAATAAATCAGCCAGCTGACGTGTGACGACACCCTTCCTTATTTTGGCGGCGGTCTAATTACGCAGAAGCAACACGGAAACACCGTACGCCCGCCGCGCGCGGCCCGGGGCTCAAATTGTCAAAACAAATCTGAAAACACTGCGCACAACTACAAACTAAGAGACGACAGGCCTGCGCGCCTGGCGCCTGCGCGCTGCGGCCGCGCGCGGCGAGCGATTTCATTTCGTGCACACAGCGCACGAGGGCGACTGCACAGTGGCTCTCACAGCCTCCCGGGGCCGTTTGCCATGGCAAGGCGGTGGCCCTGCGTGGAGGGGCGGCCGTATCCCTGCGCCGCAAGCAGCTCAGCGTGCGTCGGCCGCCCAGCTCGCTGGCACGGCTCTGTCCAGACGTGGTTCGCATCATAGCACCCCACCGGCTTCGATGGTCCGTCCGTCGGGGACAGCTGGCCTGGCTGAGGCAGGTCCCCTTCGAGGAGACACTGCCGCGGCCGGACGGCTGCCTTCTCATCCGGCGGCGCGAAGCCGAGGGCCTGCTGGACGCCGTGCCCCGCCTGGTCGACGTTGGCATAGGCGGCAGCGCCCAGGGCCTTGCCCGCCTGCGCGAAGGAGGGATGGAGTCGAGGAATGAGCCCGAGTAGAAGGGGGATTGGGAGGGCAGGCTCAGTGACGGTGCGTGTCGCGTGTGTCTGCGTGTCGTTGAGCAACAACGTACTCGAGTGCATTGCGGAGCCCGTCTTTTACTCGACGCTCTCGCCCTCCATCATCGCGTCGACCTCCTCCCTGCTCTTGAGGTCGCCTGTGGCGAAGCTGCTCGCTGCGTCGATCATGTTGCTCTGCGTGCCGCCCTGCAGGCGCATGTACTCCGCATCGGCCGCCTCTGTGCCTTTGCCGTCGAGCTGTGCCTATGTGTGTGCTATGCGTGGCGTTTCCAGCACCGCCTGCATCGGGGAGTGGCGTCGTCCGGCTGATGCGTGGCCGTGATGTCGTGCCCCTCCACGCCAGCCCCGGGCATCATGGCTCTCGCCATGGAGGCCGGCGTGAGTGACCCACCACCGCTTGCTCCACGGCGGCATGGCCAGCGAGAGCAATCCTCTGTGTTGAGACCGCAAAAGGTGTAGTCAGAAGCAACATCCTGCAGATTGCGATGCCTCTCGAACGGCGGCCGCTTGTAAAGCGTCTCGCCGCGTGTGCCGACGGGGAACTTGACCGTGCGTCCATGGGCTTCCTCGGGAAGTCGGCGCCTGGCCTGCGCCGCCGTCGCGACTAACCACATCATGGCGAACGCACGGTGGCTGGCGCCACGGATGGAGCAAGACTCAAAAGCCTCGGCGGACCGCGGGGAACGCCGAAATTCAACAAATAAGAACTGAATTCCGGAAAAGCGTGGGCTGGGTAACCTTTTTTGTGAAAAGGAAGAAACAACAGAGCGTGCGTGCGACACTGACGAAATTAAGGGGGACAAGGTGTAGCTCTCCAGGCGGCAGCACCAGGACGCCATCACACACACCTGTCTTGTCTTCTGCGCATGTGAGTGCCCACTGCAGCACCATGCCAAAGCGAGCCAGGCAAAAAAAAGAGAAAAAAAGGAACAATCACCGCATTCGCCGACGGAGCGCCGCTATCCGCTGGGACCCTGTCCGGCCGACGGTCCCTATCCGCCGCTGCCCGCCGCTGCCACAACAATGGACGCCTCCGCGATCGCCGCCATGTCGGAGCTCAACATCAAGCACGTGCGTTGCGTCGACGCCGCCTTCTCGCCCGACGCAACGCTCTTTCGGTCGAATATGCCGGTGCTGCAAGACTCGGGCGGCCGGCCGTACTTTGCTCGAACAGAACTTCTCTCGATGCTTCAGGAGCGTGGCCGCGACTGCGGCGTTGCTCTTCGTGACGACGCGTACCTCCACATCGTCTCGCTCAACTTCAACGGGGAATCGCCCGACTTCTCGGCGGAGCAGGCCTTTTGGCGCGACCCGGCAAATAGCCAGCACGGCGAGCTGACGACGTGGCCATTGGGCTTTCACGGAGCCTTCGGCACCTCTGTCGTCTCGCCCGAGGGCTTCACCGACGCCGAGAAGTCCTCCATGTCCGAGTCCGCCGTGTGGCAGCTCGATGACGTGCCAGGAAAGGTCGCGCTTTTGCGGTCGATGCTGGTCGGCTGGAAGTGGGGGCCGCTCAAGCGCACAGATGGGCGGCAGCTCGCCCTCGTCGTGCACTGCACCGCCGGCTGTGACCGCACGGGGGAGATCATAGGCTCGTACATGATGGCCCACACCAATGCGACTGCGGTCGAAGCGTACGCGAACGACGTCGACGCGTGCGGTCGGCTTCCGTGCTACCAGCACACGAATGGCATGGTCTGGTACTGCCTCTACCTCCAGCACCACGTGTACAAGGACAAGCGCCTCGGCGGCTGCACCGAGTTCGCCTCGTGCATCCCCTTCGGGTGCGACTGCATGCCCACCAAGACCGCGCTGCCGGATGGCGCCACCGAGAACATCGCCAACCTCCGCTCGCTCATTCCGGCCGCGTTTGGCGACCGGGGCTACGCGTCGCCGCCCGTCCCCGTGCATTTGGTAGACCCGGGCTTCCCTTACGTTGCGCCGTGCGAGGATGGCTACAGCGGCCTCGGAGCACAGTGCGCGGACCCGATGGCGGACAAAGGCTCGCCCACGACGCAGCTCTGGCAGTCTGCCGGCGCCTCCGTCTCGACTGTCCGTCTCGCGTGCAGCTTGTGCGCCGCGCCGAAGGTGACGACGTACGACGTTCAGGAGTACTCCAACGAGGATTGCTCCGGCGAGCCCTCGCTGCTGAACTTCCGGTCGATCCCGGAGAACTCGACCTCGTGCGTCCCTTATGCGGGCGTCTGGGTCCACGGCCAGCACTGCGACGCCTCGGACAATCGGTTCAAGGAGACTATCTTCACGGGTGAGGGCTGCAGCGGCGTCGGGCAGGAGATGACCTTTCCGTCGGGCGAGTGCGTGCCCCTCCCGGGCAGAGACGGCGCCTCGCTCCGCATCACATGCCACTTCCGCCCGCCACCACCGCCCGGTCCCGGTGCAAAGTACCCGCTCACCGACCCGGTCGTGGCCGGGCTCCTCGCGACGGCCGTGCTCGCCGCCCTCTCCCTCGCCGCCAACATCTGTCTCTGCGCGAAGCTGTGCCGCACGCGGTCCGCGGGCGGTCGCCCCGCGACGCGAGCGCTGCCGGTCATCGAGCTCAAGCAGCCATCCTAGATGTGGACTGGGGAAGGCCGGTACACGAACCAACATCACGCGCCAAGCCTCCTCGAGCGCGCCGGCGGCGCGGCAGTGATTAGCTGGCGGCGTTGGAGGCGAGCGCCGCCCTCGAGGCGGCCAAATCAGCGCTTCGAAAGTAAGCTGCGCGCGCAAAGCGAGCGAGAGCGGCTGGGAGTCAGACCAGGGCACGCAAAATGTATCTCGCGACGGGGACGTGTCCCGAGCGCGCGCGCACGCGAATGTGGCTCGTCGCTAGTCTGACTCTCACACTCGGACGGCTCGAGCTAGCACCCCACCGCGCGAACCGATGTGCTGGCTCAGCGCGTGTATCACGGGGGCACCCGATTTTGTCTTCTCGCATAGCAAAATAACATATTGCGCGTGACGCAGAAAGACGACCCCAACCCAGCGCAAGCCGCAACTCGCACACGCCCTCGCCCGACGCCTGAGCTCCGCAGACGACCGAACACGCCGCCTGCGAAGTTCTCGCACCATGGGCGGCACATGTGGATCAGTCCCCGGTTCTCACCTGCTCTCCCCTAGCCTCGCGCGCGTTCAGAATCTCCACTCTAATCATCTTTCGCCTGTGATCAGCAGACGCAACTGTATCGGGCGCCTTTTTGCACAGAGGGTCCGACGTGGCCTGCGGCTTCAGAAAGCCGGAGGCGGCGCGGGGGCCGAAGCAGCAAAGGTCGTGACGAGGTCGCCGACGGTGGTCTGTGCGCCGTGGTACTCGGTGATCGCTGCGCGGGCCGGCAGGAGCATCAGCGCGGCGATTGCCGCGGCGAGCGGGATTGTCGCCACCCAGGTGAGCGCGATCTTGCCGAACAGGGCGCAGTCGGACCTAAAACAGGAGCGCACGTCCCTGTCTTCCAGAGGCGGCCGGTGCCATTGCGCCCGAGAGGCGCGTGCCCGTGGACGCCGTGCTTTGCCATGCCGACAAAGACGATCGCGCCCACCTGGCAGTGCGTCGACGAGACGGGGAGGCCGAGGCACCTGCGAACCGGCGCTGCATGCTCTTCCCAACTGAGACCAGTCCCAGTGTCCCTGCTTGATACTTGGCGGAGGCGAGGGCGGTGGCGGTGAAGGCGGCGGAGGCGAGGGTGGTGGCGGCGAGGGCGGCGGGGGCGAGGGCGGTGGGGGCGAGGGCGGCGGTGGCGAGGGCGGGGGCGGCGAGGGCGGCGGAGGTGAGGGCCCGGGCGGCGAGGGAGGGGGCGGCGAGGGCGGGGGCGGCGAGGGCGGTGGGGGAGAGGGCGGGGGCGGCGAGGGCGGTGGGGGAGAGGGCGGGGGCTGCGAGGGTGGGGGCGGCGAGGGCGGGGGCGGCGAGGGCGGTGGGGGAGAAGGCGGGGGTGGCGAGGGCGGGGGTGGCGACGGCGGGGGAGGCGAGCCGAGGGCGGGGGTGGCGGCTACGCACGTTGCGATGACGACGGTGCACGTCGAGGCGGACTCGACGCAAAAGGCCATGTGGTAGTTGATCTCGGCGATGTCGGTGCCGAGCGTCTTGATCACACGGTACCTAGACACACGGTGGCAGACACGGCTTGGGCAAAGCCGACATTAAAGTCTGCATGAGAGACTGGGGCGGCGCCCGAGGGTCATCACGCCGAGAGCCACAAACGCGCCAGCGATGGACATGATCCACCACGGCGTTCCCGTCGACTCGCACTCGACCATGTCGGACGAGAAAGCAGTGTAGATGGCGGAGAAGGCCGAGGTCGAGTTGGCCTACGCCTCGGCTGACCTCGGGTGATCTCGGCCGGCCTCGGGGTCGGCGAACAAGGCCGGTGTCGAGTGTGGACCGTGTCGTTGGCGCCGTGTGCGAACGACTCGAGGAATGCGACGAAGACGACGATGTATCTGAGGCACACGAGAGGCGCACCCGTGCCAGGGTCGCGCGGCCACACAGATAGGGCTCCTAGCAGGCTCCCGGCGACTCATGGCCGGGCGAAAGCTTGCACCGGAAGACGTGTACTGCGTCCTCGTGCGACTCGCCGACCTCTTCGCAGCAGGCCTCCATCTAGAGGGGCGAGCGAGGAGGAGCGAGTGAGGGGGGCGGGTGCGATGGGGCTGCCGCCAGTACCCCCTTCCCTGTCTTCCTCCTCCGGTATGATTTCGGTCGTTTGCAGCCCATTGCCGCCCGGGCTCGAGTGCTTTGCGGCGATCGAGTCGACCAAAGACGAGCGGGAGCCGATCGAGCCGAGGCTGTGGACGCTGCCGTCCATGCTCCCGCCTGTGGGACCGTGTCATGGAGGTGTCAGGAGCTCAGGACGTGTCATGGCCGTCCACGCTCGCGCCAGAGTTTTGCCGTTCGTGGGGGCCGCCGCCGCCGTAGAGCCAAAGAGCCCGGCGCCGTAGGTCTTGCTCGAGAGGTACCTCTCCTCGAGGTCCTTGTACGACGCCTGCTCACGGGCGTGCGGCCGTGCAAAGGGCCAGGCGTATTGCCGGCGTCCTAGGTAAGGTAAGCTAAACTTCTCCACACTACAACGTGGTGGGGCAAGGGGGGGCGACCCTCGCGTCTCCACGTCTGTCTGGACGACAGGAGCCCCACGGCAATCAAAGTGCAAGGCCCAGTACGCGCGGGTGAGGTGTGTGTGTGTGTGTGTGTGTGTGTGTGTGTGTGTGTGTGTGTGTGTGTGTGTGTGTGTGTGTGTGTGTGTGTGTGTGTGTGTGTGTGTGTGTGTGTGTGTGTGTGTGTGTGTGTGTGTGTGTGTGTGTGTGTGTGTGTGTGTGTGTGTGCGTGCGATACGCCTCGAGCCGTATCTCCCCATATCTCCCCATATCTCCCGACGCCTCGAGCCGTACGAGCCGCGCCGACAGCTCCTTGACCGCCTTGTGGCTCTGCTCCTGCTCGTCGCGCAGCGCGCGGACCGTCGGCATCGCCTAGGCGGCAAGGAAGGTCTCGGGCTAGACGAGCGAGACGGGGAGCGGCAGAAGGGCGGCAGGGGCTGAGGCGGGACAGATGCGGCAAGGGCGGCAGCCGTGGCAACTGGCAAGGCGCGGCAAGCGCGGAAGCGGAAGGAGGGGGGGGGGGGGTCGCTGGGGCGCCTCACGCACGCGCGGGACGAGGAGCGACGTGTACATGTGGGTCGCCCCGGCGACAACGCACGCGGTGAGGGCTTGCTGGGACCGCTCGAGGTGCTTGGTCGGCTTGGACCTGGGTAAGGTAAGGTAAGGTAAGGTAAACTTCTCCACACACACGAGGTGGTGGGGCAAGGGGGGGGCGACCCTCGCGTCTCCACGTCTAACGACAGGAGCCCCACGGCATTCAAAGTGCAAGGCCCAGTGCGCGTAGGTGAGATCTGGGCGTGCAGTGCAGGCGGCTGAGGCGGAATGTGTTCTGGGCCGGATGAGCGGCACGGGTGGGTTGAGGGCTGAGGGCAGGGACTGGGAAGTGTCTCGGGAGAGTGTCCCGGACTTGATCATGATGAGGAACGTCATGATCCACGCCGCGATCGAGTAGAGGAAGGGCGAGAGAAGGAGGGCGTTGGAGCCAGGCCGCCGCGTGTCGAGCGAGGCGTACTTGGTCGTGGTGTAGATGAAGACGGCGATGCAGCCGGAGAGGACGGGCGAGATGACCCAGCTAGCTATGATTGAGGTGAGGCCTCCCTTCCACGCCTGTGAGCCAGAGCGCACAACATTGAGTGGGCAGTTGTGGGGTGGCTCGCCAGCTCCGTCGGCCGTCTCTCGGGGGGTCTTCACCCAATTCAGGCACCCGATGCCGTCCATGTCGGCCGAGCCGACCATCGTCATGCCCACGACGCCCGCCACGATGGCGTGGGTGGTGGAGACGGGCATCGCAGCAAGGGTGGCGAGTAGGAGGAAGATGGCCGCTGCGAGGAGTGCGCAGAGCATGCCGACGGCGTAGACAGCCATCCCGGAGTGGCAGTAGCCGCATGCCCAGCAGGCCGGGTCGGTGGTGGAGGCGACGCCCTTCTTGATGGTGTCGCTGACACCATAGCCGAGCAGCGTCGCGCCCAGCCACTCGCCAAAGCCTCCCAGCGTGACGGCGAGGCCGAGCGGGATCGCGCCAGAGCCCACCTGAAGGGGACGGCGGTGGTGAGAGAGGTGGCAACGGTGAGAGAGCGTTGGTCTCGGCTGACGAGGGGCGAGGAGGCTCTGAGGCGGTGGATCACCGTCGCCCCCCAGGCGTTCGCACTGTCATTCGCCCCAATCGTGAAGCACATGAAAGCGGCAGTCACCGCGGCGACAATGAGCAGGCCGCGGTTGCCTTCCTGATCAGCGTAGACGCCGTTGTAGGGTGAGCAGGTGAACGGATCGGCGGCCGCGGCAGCGCAGTCGAGGACGCCGTACTCGCAGGCTTGCGACATGCCTCGGCAGATGGTCGGCCGTCGGCCATTGAAATTCGGCGGATATTCGATTGTTTCTTTTTCCGGGTAGATACCCGCCAAAGCCAAAGCAAGAAGCCAAGAACTCTCCCTTTGCTGCCACTCATAAAATCGTTGGGTCGCTTCAGTTCACGAAGTCCCCCCGTGGGCCGACCCTCCGATTTTAGAGAAGAGAACAAAGGGAGTGAAGCAAGAAATACCTACACCAAACTCGGTGTCGAACCACCAGCCCGACGCTCACTACAAGTGACTGGCCAAGCGCCAGTCCCGTGCCTAGTGTTCAGCCCCGCACGGTTTGTAAAATTCGTGTATCGCGCGCCTTGCGGGGGGGGCGCGGAAAAGAGGAACCTCTTAGCGCCATCGCCACGGTGCTGCATGCAGCGCCGGGCGACGACGGCTTACCGCCTCCCGGTCCCCCTCGGCACACCTCCGCTGCTCAATGTTTGACGGCTCGAACCCGTGAAGCTTCCCCGTGCGCGGGTTACCCCGCACACGGGTCAGCCTGCCAGCCACGTATCCACGCAAGCGTGGTCCGCGCGCATGGCATACAGGCGTCCGTCAGACAGCGCAGAGGCTAGGCGACCGGGGAAGGACTAGCTCAAGGGCAACACAGCGTCACCAGCCGTTGGCGCGCAGAACGAGTCTGCGGCCCTCCGTTGGGACGAGTGCGCGACGCGGTTGAACCGCTCAATATGGCTGGCAGCTCGCGCTGCCGGCGGGGTTGGTTGGGGAGAACCGGCACGGGGAGGGCCGGCCTCCCCGGAGGGGTAATTCTTGACTCACATGATCGCTGCACTCGTGCCATTCGCGCTGGTCAGCAGCGCGCTCAGCGCGCCGCACCGGCCGCTTTCGCCTGCTCGCGTATGCACCCCACGGCTCGTCGCGCCTACCTCCGATGGTGGTGGTCCTGCGCCACCATCGGGAGGCGAGGCCGTCGCTGACGCCGGCGACGGCGGCATCGTGCCGGCGGTGCTGCATGAGGAGATGCGAGACTCGTACATGTCGTACGCGATGTCGGTCATCATGTCGCGCGCGCTGCCGGACCTGCGCGACGGCCTCAAGCCCGTCCACCGCCGCATCCTCTACGCGATGAGCGAGCTGAACCTCTCTCCGGAGGGCTCGCACCGCAAGTGCGCAAAGGTCGTCGGCGAGGTGCTGGGCAAGTTCCACCCGCACGGCGACCAGTCCGTGTACGACGCACTGGTGCGGATGGCGCAGCCCTTTTCCCTCCGCGCGCCGCTCGTCGACGGCCACGGCAACTTTGGATCCAACGACCCGGATCCTCCGGCGGCGATGCGGTGAGCCTCAGAGCCCAACACCCGTAGCCAGAAGTCAGCGCTAGAGAGGGGAGAGGGCAGTGCAGAGCAGCGGCAGGCCCATCCGCCCAGGGGCAGAGACTGGCGCCTCTCGACGCACCCGCGTCGTTTGTCGGCCAATAGGTACACCGAGTGCAAGCTGCCAATAGGTACGTCGGCCGCTCGGTGTGCCTATCTGCAGAGACTGGCCAATAGGTACACCGAGTGCAAGCTGCAACGCCTCGCGCGGGACTCGCTGCTGACCGACGTCGCTCTGGACACGGTCGACTTCACCGACAACTTTGACGCGTCGGAGCGAGAGCCGATGGTCCTCCCCGCTCGGCTGCCGATGCTCCTTCTCAACGGCGCGTCCGGGATCGCCGTCGGCATGGCCACCAACATCCCCCCGCACAACCTTGGCGAGCTGCTGTGAACAGCGTCGCTTCACACCTCTAGCTGTGAACAGGCCACCAATATCCCCCCGCACAACTTGGGCGAGCTGGTCGACGCACTGCAGGCGCTGATCTCAGACCGCGACGTGTCCGACGCAGAGCTGCTGCGCCGCCTGCCCGGCCCCGACTTCCCGACGGGAGGGATCATCATGGGCAACGCCGGCGCGCGGGACATGTACACGACGGGCAGAGGCTCCGTGGTGCTGCGCTCGACGACGTCCATCGAGGCTCTCCCTGCGGCACGCGGGCAAGGCTCTCGGCAGGCGATCATCGTGACTGAGCTGCCCTATGGCACCGCCAAGAACCCGCTGCTGGAGAAGGTCGCCGCGCTCGTCAACGCCAAGACCCTCGTCGGCATCTCCGACATCCGAGACGAGTCGTCGCTGGCTGGCACCCGCGTCGTGTTTGAGCTGCGGAGGGACGCCGACCCGCTCGTCGTCCTCAACCAGCTCTTCAAGAAGACGGAGCTGCAGAAGAACTTCCCGGCAAACTGGATGGCCGTCGAGGGTCCGGGCAAGATGCCCGCCCGCCTCACCCTCCGCTCCGCCCTCTCCTCCTTCCTCGACTTCCGCGTGGAGTGCGTGCGGCGCCGCACGGCGCACTTGCTGGCGAAGGCGGAGGCGAGGCTCCACTTGGTGGACGGCCTACTTCTGGCCACGCAGCAGATCGATGCCGTGATCGAGGCCATCCGTGGCGCACCCTCTGTCGGCGACGCTCGCGAGCTGCTCACGTCTTCGCGGTTCGGCCTCTCGCCGGAGCAAGCCGAGGCGATCTTGTCGCTGCAGTTGCGCCGCCTCACCGCCCTCGAGCAGTCAAAGCTCGATGATGAGAGGGCAGACTTGCGTGCCGAGGTTGCACGGCTGTCGACGCTGCTGTCGGAGCGGTCAAATGTCGAGGCGGCAATCTCGGCGGAGCTGGAGGAGCTGAGGGAAGCACACGCGACGCCGCGCCGCTCTGCGATCGAGGTGGAGTACGAGGAGCTGTCTGACCTCGACCTCACACCAAACGAGGGGTGCGTCATCGTGCAGTCGGCGCGCGGCTTCGTCAAGCGCATGCCCCTCGACGAGTTTGAGGCGCAGGGCCGAGGCACGCGAGGCAAGGCGGGCATGGCCAACCTGGGAGACGGCGACGCGGTGCTGCGCATCTTCTCCTGCGCGACGCACGACACGGTCCTCTTCATCTCGGAGCGCGGCATCGCCTACGCACTCGAGGCGTTTCGCGTCCCCGTCGCGTCACGAACAGCCCGCGGCGTGCTGCTGCAGTCGCTGCTCCCGATCGCCGCCGACGAGTCGATCGCGCAGCTGCTGCCGGTGTCCGAGTTCAGCGAGAACGAGTCGCTGGTGCTGCTCACGCGGCACGGCTGGATTAAGCGCACGCCGCTGCTTGCCTTCGAACGGATCACCGCGCGAGGGCTCATCGCTGCGTCGCTCGGCGAGGGGGACTGCCTCACGCACGCCGCCGTGTGCACCGAAGCCGACACCGTCATCATCGCATCGCGGCTCGGCCAGGCGCTGCGCTTCAACACGGACGCCAAGCAGCTGCGCGCCTCCGGACGCGCCTCGAGAGGCGTCAAGTCGATGCGGCTGCGCGACGGCGACGAGATCGCCGACATGGACGTCGTGCGCGTGGGGGACCGCCCTGCGGACGCCATCGTGCGCGGCGGCGAGGCGGGCGGCGAGCGAGGTGGGGAGATGCTGCTCGCGGTGACGAGGGGAGGGTATGGCAAGCGGGTGCGGGTGGACGCGTTCCAGCCTAAGGGGCGCGGCGGGCAGGGGATGATCTCCATCAAGTTCAAGAACCGCGACGACCGGCTCGTCGGCCTCTCGCAGGCGCGCGAGGAGGACCAGCTGCTTCTGATCACGAAGAAGGGCGTGACGGTGCGGCAGGCCGTCGCCGCCATCTCGGAGCAGGGGCGCGCCGCCACCGGCGTCCAGCTGCAGCGGCTCGACGCGGACGACTACGTCGCCTCCGCCGCCATCGTGCCCCCCGTCGAGCAGGACGACGCGGCGTGAGAGGCTCCACGCGGGAGCGTATTGCGTATTTTGGAGGAACGCCCTCTCTTCGAAGCTTGAGCGATCGACTTACTCGTACACTTATCACTTTTGTCGACACCCATTCGTGCACTTTCAGACACCACACCTAAGCGCTAAGGCAGCGCGATGTCTCTTTTTGTCGGTTCATACTCAACAGAAACAGGACTGGAGCAGCGTCGGACACGCACAAACTCAGAGGTCAGAGACAGTCGCCCGACGCTGGTCCCAAAGAGCGACAATAGAGAGGATCGTGTGTGATACCCTGATAGGAGGACACCAGTCACCACGCAGAGGATGTCTACAAGCCCGAGGGGGCTTTGCTTGTGATGTGGGCTGCCACACACTGCGCACGCGACCCCCCGCGCGGCACACTGGAGTGCACGCTGCTGTGAAATAGACATCACGCCACACAGTCACCGTCACAGTCACCGGCCGGGAGCTCTCGCCCAGCGACTACCCTGGTGTTAGTGGCGCGCTCTCGGCAGGACGCACTACGAGCCCGCGCGTGCGCGCTCGAGGCTATATCAAACGAGCCACGCCCTCAAAGGTCGGGTCCACCTTGGCCACCGCCGCGGCGAAGCAAGACGGAGTCCATCGGGAGGGCCCCGCGCGGCGGCTCGTGTCGGCGCCGGCGGCGCGAAGCGCCAGGAAGCAGTCGCTGTGGCCCGCGGCGGCAGCGATGTGAAGCGCGGTGAGGCCAGAATCCTCGGCCGCGTCCAGCTCGCACCCGGACGCAAGTACCGCCTCGAGCACCGCCACGTTGCCGGTTGCTGCGGCGCAGTGCAGTGGAAGCCAGCCGTTGGCTCCCCGCGCCGAGGCAAGCGCCGGGGACGCGGAGAGGAGGGCGCGCGCGCACTCCTCCGCTCCAGAGAGGGCCGCGCAATGCAGCGGCGAGAGGTCACTCGCAGTGTCTGCGCTAAGTAGTTCCTCTCGCGGGCAGGGGTGCTGCTCAAGCAGGATGCGGAGGCAGTCGGCCGACCCGCCGAGCGCGGCGTAGTGCACCGGCCCGAGACCTGTCATGCATGTGTAGTGGACACGTCAGCAGACGCGCCGTCGGCTATATGGTGACCGCGCGAGCGGAACGGACGTAGAGATATGGACGGGTAGCATGGAGGCGTGGCGCAAGATGGCAAGAGAGGGGTGCGTTCAGGAGTGAAGGGAAATAAGAGGTGTTGGAATTGTCCCGCACCGGATGAGCAGGGCGCGTGCAGCTCGGTCGGCGACAGGAGACGACAGAGCTCGCCCAGCAGCTCCCGCGAGCGGCACCAAGCGGCGAGGTGCGCCGGCCTCAGCCCGTTCCGCGTCAGACCCGCCGCAGGGCTCGCGCCAGCCCGTAGCAGCGCGATGGCCGCCCGTTCCCCTGTCTGCCCGCGCGCAGCGGCGAGGCAGAGGGCCGTCGCGCCGCCCATCCGAGAGGCGCGAGCATCGATCGCGTCGACGCCAAAAGTGGAACTGAGCGTCTTGATTGCCTCGGCGTGCCCTCCGAGCGCTGCGAGGTGGAGCATGCCTACAATGGCCACGGCACTGCTGTGTGGGACAGTGCAAGATCGACATAAAGGGGGGCTGGGCGTCTATCATTCACTGCTGGGGGGAGGGGAAGGAGGGTTGCAGTGAAGGAAGGTGGAGGTCTCGTCGGAGGCACTTGTGAGCACTGTGAAGACCGTGCGCCGTCAGGACCCCGCCAGGACTCTGTCAGGACTCTGTCAGGACTCTGTCAGGAGACTCTGTCAGGACTCTGTCAGGACTGTCAGGACAGTTGCGGGAGCTCCACAAACCAGGTTGCTCTCTCTTGGCCCCCGTGTGCGGTGTGTTATGTGTGCGGCCTGGCCTCTCCAAAAATAACCCGTGGCCCTCTGTGGGCCATCTGTGTGTCCGCCTTGCTTTGCGTTCCATACGTGGCTGGGTTCACAGCGATTGTAGGAAAATGTCGAAAACACTTGACGGTCGCGGCCTTCCGACTCGCGCCTCCGCCTCACTGGCACTATTGTAGCCCTGGCCGGTGCGCGTGCAGAGTTGAAGTTCCGGAGTGAAAATTCGAACGCGTTCTCTCACGGTGACCAAAAAATGTCCACCTAGAGGCACCTCCGGAGGCAGGCCGCCGCACGCCGGCGACACAGCTCCAGCTGTCGAGCTGACCCGCAGCTCCTCTCAGAGCGGGAACTGTGACGAAAGTTGACTGAGGCGGTTGTCAGGAATCATCATACGGATCACATGGTGGCTCTCTCATGACGGGCAACCGCCCGACCACTCCTGGGTGGCACTGCCACCGGTGTCGCTCGACGTCCTGTCGACAGCGTGCCGACAGCGACACAGACCATGTGGGACGCGTCGAGTATCGACCTCTACTGCTTACCCAGCCTTCGAGTGTATCCTGACTGTGGTCCCACACCCACTGGTGTCCATCTCAGAGACCGCAGGAGGTCATGAGGGTCGATGGGAGTGCCAACCCCACAATGCCTAAAAACCCAGCCCAGTACTTTAACACACACATATCGTAATATCGTTATCGAAGATAGAGCCTAGCTTTCAAAAAATCGCCCAGACCACAATGTACACGTCTGCAGCCTTGGGGGAATCTGGGGGCTGCGCGCCATGACCTTCTTCCGCCGAGGTGTCGCCATTCTCGCACTGCAGTCCGCAGCGCGCGGAGACGGGGCCAGAGAGAGCGGCTCAGCGGGGATGCGCTCCATCGTGGTGGGCCTATCCCCTCAGCTGGCAACCTTGGCCTTCTTTTTCGGCGCCTCCTCTTCCTCCTCCTCCTCGTCGTCGTCTCCCTCCTCGCCGCCCTCCTCGTCGCCCTCCTCGTCGTCCTCGTCCTCGTCGTCCTCGTCCTCCTCCCCGGAGTCCTCCGCCTCCTCCTCGTCGTCGCTGCCGTCGCCCGCCGCCCCCGCTCGCTCCTTCATGCGCCGAATCACCTCCTCGATGGGGAGGTTGGCCTCCTCCTCCAGCGCGGAGATCTCCTTGGCCGTGTCGGCCTGCGGGCAACAGGAACTGCAGGTCAGATGAGACGCTCAGCCACGCAATCACGGCACAGCGCAGCGGCAGTGAGCGATTCGGGCGACGTCCGGCCAAACCCCTCCCGCCACCCGCCCGCCGCGCCTGGGGCAGCGCCTCCTCCTGCTGCAGCGTCGACTCGTCGTCGAGAGCCGCCTCGGGCTTGAACCTGTGGCGGCGGAGCAGGACGGGACGGGTGTGGTCCGACGCAGAGGAGGCGTGGCGGCGGGGCGCGACGCACTCGTCGTCCTCCGCCTCGGCAGCCTTGCCGGGCGGCGCCGATGAGGCCGCGCTGGTCGCCATGAACAGCGGGGGAGGTGCTTTGAGCGGCGCGATGAGCGGCGGCAGAGAGAAGAAATCAAACCTCACTCCCTGAGTTATGTGTCTGTGTGTCGCTCGTGCGTGTCGCCATCATCTGTCCAGCGTCCACCCATACCGCGTTTGTCCAGTCCGAGCCTGGCTGTTCTTCACCTTTCTACCTAACCGAAATCACTACAGTAATTAACACCCATTCTTACGCGAATGCACTGACGTCTGAACACGCTGATCGTCTCGATCTGAACACACTGATGAGTCGTGCGTGCGGCCGGCGGGGCCGCCGCACTCGGGGGCCTACGTCTCGATTCCGGAGTTGCGATCGGCGCCCGATGATGTCGTCGTCGCCATTCGCGCGCGTTCGAGCCGCTCTCTCTGGGGCGACGAGACCGAGGAACCGGGGTCGCTCGGTTGCCTCGAGCCGGCCGTCGCTGTGAGGCTAGCTGTGAGGCCCTGTGGCAACGAGCCCGTCACGTCGTCGTCCGACAGCGCGCGCGGCAGCCGCAGCCTCGACACCGAGGCCGCCGGCGCCGCCTCGGCGGGCCCGGCAGGCCGGAGATGGCTCAGCGAGCCGGGGTTCGCCACCCACGGAGGCTTGAGAGTCTTGCCGCCGCCCGCCTTGCCGCCGCCGTCCTCGCGCGGCGGCTTCCCCTTGCCCCTGCGGCCCCACCAAGAGGGTTTGCTCTCCGGAGCTGCAGCGGTCGTGGCGCTGCCGGCAGCCGACGGCTCGGCGGGCTGGCGCGGCTCCACGAGCGGCGCCGGAGGGACGTACGGGGCGCGGAGCGAGGAGGTATGCGTGAGAGGCAGGACGGCGTGCTCCGGCGGCGGCGTGCCTGGCTCGGCTATGTCGATGGCGACGGTGCCGTGGGAGGAGGAGGGTACCCCTCCCTCCTCCTCCCCCCCTCCCCCCTCCTCCCCGAACCTCAGCTGCTTGACGGCGCCAGACGGCCCCGCAGCGCCAGGCGCCGCCGCCGATCGCGCCGTGCCGGCCTCAAGAGGAGAGAACGCAAGAGGAGGAGAGCGGTCGCCCGAGCTGCCCGCCGCCGCGTCGGCAGCGCTCGACGACCCCGCCTCAGTCGAACCGCGCCTCTGAGTCAGCTTCTGAGCCGCGTCCGTCTCCCGCAAGACCGCGGACGTCCGCTTTCGGTCCGAGTGACGGTCGGCGTCTGCGTCGCGCTCCAAGGCGCGCGACTTCCGGTCCGATCGGCGGTCGGACGGCCTCTCCCTCCCGGACGGGGCTGCGGGCGCGTCGCCGCGCGGAGAGAGCAGCTCCGACTGCCTCCCCGACGCCTCGGAGGCCACGGAGGCGTCCGAGTAGCGCGGAGCCTTCGAGGGCCGCTCCTTTTTGCGGAGTGTGCCGGATGCCTCGGGGTGGAGCTCGAGCCAGAGGCCCTGCAGGTCGTACGCGACCTGCTCGAAGGTCGGCCGCTCCGCCGGGTCGAGGGCGAAGCACGCCTCGGCGAGGTGGGCGACGGCCTGCGGCCACTCTGCCCGCGCAAAGCAGAGCACGCCGGGCAGGCCTCCGGGGTTGGAGGTCGGCTGCATCTCGCCCTTGGTCACCTTGTTGAGGAGGTCGAGTGGCGAGATGTGGCCGGACTCGAGCAGCGCGGCGAAGGGCGGCCGGCGGGTGGCGATGTGGACGAGCAGCCCGCCGAAGGACCAGACGTCGCACGGCTTGCCGTACTTGTCCTGCCGAAGCACCTCGGGCGCCATGTAGACGGGGGTGCCCTGCATCGACATGGTCATGTTGATCGAGGCGAGGCCGCGCGCGTTCTCGAGCGCGTCCAGGCCGAGACCACGCCGCGCGCCCGGTGCCTCGGCGGTGAGTGGCTTGACGCGCGACGCGCCAAAGTCTGCCACCTTGGCAGTCATCATTGGCAGCTTGAGCAGCACGTTGCCCGGCTTGAGGTCGCGATGGATCACGCGGTGGTTGTGGAGGTACGACATGCCGCGCGCCACGTCGAAGGCGATGGAGAGGTACGGGTTTGCCCACGTCGGCCGCGAAGCTTGCGGGAGCGCAAAGCCGCCCGACGTGCTGGCCTGAGACGTGAGCGACAGCGTCGCCTCGCGGTCCGTCGCCTTGTCGATGAACTCGTCGAGCGCGAGGTCCATCAGCTCAGTCAGGATCGCGTGGTTCCGCTCGCCGTCCGAGACGAGCCCGAGGGTGAGGAGCACGTTCGGGTGGCGCAGCTTGAGGGCGAGCTGGCACTCCTCGACGAGCAGCTGCATCTCGCGCGCCGTCATCTTTTGCTTGACGCGCAACTTCTTGCAGGCCACGTCGGTCGAGGAGTACTCGGCGCGGTAGACGTCGCCCGCCGCGCCCGAGCCGATGAGCTCCGCCAGGTGGCAGTCCTCCCACGGAATGAGCTCGAAGCGCGAGAAGGCGGTGATGGCCGACTGCGAGTCGTTCGAGTCGAAGCTGCCCGCTGCGGACGCGAGCGCCCCACCGGGGCTGGGCGCCCCCGCCCCGGACGCTCCGGACGCGCTCGACTTGCCGCCGCCGGACGAGTACATGGGTGCTTTGGACCCTCCCCTCGATGCGCTCGACGCGCTCGACGCGCTCGACTTGCCGCCGCCAGACGAGTACATGAGATTGCGCCCGGCGGCGGCGCACTGCGGCAGCGACGGGCACATGGAGACGTTCGGGTTGGGTCCTCCGCCAGGGGAGCGGCTGTCTCCCGGCAGGGCCCCCACCACCGAGACCGCGGAGCCGCGGTCCCTCGCCTCCCGCGCCCGCTTCGCCCGCCGACGGTAAAGGAGGAGGCCGACGACGAGGATGGCCGCTACGCCGGCCGCGGCTGCGCCGCCGATCACAGCGAGGGGGGCTCCCTCGCCATCGCTCGGTGTGAGTCCCTGGGAGACGGGCGACAGCGGCGGAGAGGTTGGCTGCCCGGGCGGCCTCGGTGGTGGGAAGGTGTACTCGGTCTCGCCAGCTGTTGGACGCATTACGAAGCTGATCTTATCATTACAGACAGGAGGTCTTGTCTCGTCGAGGGAACAGTCGATTCGTACCGATAAGAGAAAATTGAGCCCCCCAGTCTTGTTAGACTTTAGGAGCACCGTCGCTGCAGTTGGCTCCGTCTCGTCTAGCAAGGGAGTCTCCACGAACGTCACCAGGGCGGTGTCCCCCGGTGCCGGGACAGAGCCAGCTTGGGTTATGGTCACAAAGAGGTTGCCTTCTGTGAAGCACGGGTTGGGTGTGTCTCGACGCGCTTGGCAACCGCTGACTCGTTGATCAAGAGCGTCTATGACAA